CTCAGAGCCTGGAGCCTGTTTCAGATTCTGTGTCTCCCTCTCTCTCTGCCCCTCCCCCACTCATGCTCTGTCTCTCTCTCTCTCTCTCTCTCTCTCTCTGTAAAAAAGAAATAAACATTAAAAAAATTTTTTTAATGAATTAAAAAAAACCAGTAGAACAGGTTAATGAAACCAGGAGGTGGTTCTTTGAAAAAATTATAAAAGTGATAACACCCTATCCAGACTTATCAGAAAGAAAAGAGAAAGGACCCAAATAAAATCACAAATGGGAGAGGAGAATTAACAACCAATACTACAGAAATACAAACAATTAGAAGATTATGAAAAACTATATTCCAACAAGTTGGACAACCTGGAAGAAATGGATAAATTCTTAGACACATATAAACTATCAAAATTTAAACAGAGAGAAATAGAAAACTTGAATAGAACAAAAATCAGCAATGAAATTTTATCAGTATCAAAAAACTCCTAATAAATAAAAGTCCCAGATCAGAAGGCTTCACAGGAAAATTCTACCAAACATTTAAAGAATGTTAAATATCCATTCTTCTCAAACTATTCAAAAACAAAGAAACAAACAAAACAAAACAAAACAGAAAAACAGAAAGGTAAGGAAAACTTCCAAATTCATTCTATGAGACTAGTATTACCCTGATACCAAAACCAGATAAAGACTTCACAGGCAAAGAGACTTATAAGTCAATATCCTTGATGAACACAAATGCAAAATTTCTCAATAAAATACTAGGAAACTGAATCCAACAATGTATTAAAAAAATAATTCACTATGGTCAAGTGGGACTTATTCCCAGGTTGCAAGAGTGGTTCAATATTCACAAACCAATCAATGTGAAACACTACATTAATTAAAAAAAGAAAAAGAAAAAAAAATAGGAACCATATGATCCTTTCAGTTAATGCAAAAGAGGGATTTGACAAAATACATCTATTCATGATAAAACCCCCACAAAGTAGGGTTAGAGGGAACATACCTCAACATAATAAAGGCCATGTTAAAAAAACCCACAGCTAATATCATCTTCAATGGGGAAAAACTGAGAGCTTTTTCTCTTTGGTCAAGAACAAGACAGGATATCCACAACCACCACTGTTATTTAATATAGTACTGGAAGTCTCAGCCTCAGCAATCAGACAACAAAAAGAAATAAAAGGTATCCAAATCAGCAAGGAAGAAGTAAAACTTTCACTATTTGCAGATGACACGATACTCTATATAGAAAATACAAAAGATTCCACCAAAAAATTGCTAGAACTTTCACACAAATTCAGTAAAGTAATAGGATACAAAATCAATGTTTAGAAATCTATTACATTTCTATACCTCAATATTGTAGCAGCAGAAAGAGAAAGCAAAGAATTGATCCCATTTACAATTGCACCAAAAACCATGAGTACCTAGGAATAAACCTAACCAAACAGGTGAAAGATCTGTACTCTGGAAACTATAAAACACTGATGAAAGAAATTAAAGATGACACAAAGAAATGGAAAGATATTTCATGCTCATGGATTGGAAGAAAAAATATTGTTAAAATGTCTACACTAATACCCAAAGCAAACTACACATTTAATGCAATCCCTATCAAAATACCATCAGCATTTTTCTGAGTTAGGACAAACAATCCTAAAATTTTATGGAGCCATAAAAGACCCCGAATAGCAAAAGCAGTCTTGAAAAAGAAAAACAAAGCTGGAGGCATCACAATTCCAGACTTGAAATTATATTACAAAGATGTAGTGATCAAGACAGTATGGTACTGGCACAAAAGTAGGCACATAGATCAAAGGAACAGAATAGAAAACCCTGCAATGAACCCGCAAATATATGGTCAATTCGTCTTTGACAAAGCAAGAAAGAATATCCAATGGGAAAAAGACAATATCTTCAACAAATGGTGCTGGAAAAATTGGACAGTGACATGCAAAAGGATGAAACTGGACCACTTTTTTACACCATACACAAAAATAAATTCACACTGGGTGAAAGACCTAAAAATGAGATAGGAAACCATCAAAATCCTAGAGGAGAATACAGGCAGTTACTTCTTTTACATCGGCTGTAGCAACTTCCAATTAGATATGTCTCCCAACAAAAGGGAAACAAAAACAAAAGTAAACTATTGGGACTTCATCAAAATAAAAAGCTTCTGCACAGTGAAGGAAACAACCAAAATTAAAAGGCAGCCTACTGAATGGGAGAAGATGTTTGCAAATGACATATTTGATAAAGGGTTAGTATCTAATCTATAGAGAACTTATAAAACTCTACATCCCCAAACCAAATAATCCAGTTAAAAATGGGCCGAAAATGGGGTGCCTGGGTGGCTCAGGTGGTTAAGCATCCGACTTGGGCTCAGATCATGATCTCACAGTTAGTGAGTTTGAGGCCCGCGTCAGACTCTGTGCTGACAGCTCAGAGCCTGGAGCCTGCTTCGGATTCTGTGTCTCCCTCTCTCTGTGCCCCTTCCCACTTGCCCTCTGTCTCTCTCAAAAAATAAGCAAACAAACAAACAAACAAAATTTTAAAAAATGGGCAGAAGATATGAATAGATAGTTTCCCAAAGACATACAGGTCTCTAACAGACACATGAAAAGATGCTCAACATCACTCATCATCAGGGAAATACAAATCAAAACTACAATGAGATATCATCTCACACCTGTCAGAATAGCTAAAATTAATAACACAGAAAACAACAGATGTTGGTGAGGATGAAAAGAAAGGAGAGCCCTCTTACGCTGTTGGTGGGAATGAACACTGGTGCAGCCTCTCTGGAAAACAGTATGGAGAATTCTCAAAAAGTTAAAAATAGAAGCTACCCTGTGACCCAGTGATTGCACTACTAGGTATTTACCAAAATATTACAAACTACTAATTTTAAGGGATATATGTACCGTGATGTATATGGCAACATACCAACAATACCCAAATTACGAAAAGAGCCCAAATGTCCATAGACTGATGAATAGATAAAGAAAACATGACATATATACACAATGGAATATTAATCAGTCAAAAAAAAGAATGAAATTTTGCCATTTGCAGCCATGTGGATGAAGCTAGGAAATATTCTAAGAGATAAGTCAGTCAGAGAACAACAAATATCATAATTTCATTCATATGTAGAATTTAAGAAACAAAACAGATGAACATAGAGGGAAAATAGGAGAGGCAAACCATAAAACAGACTCTTAACTATAGAGAACAAACTGAGGGTTGATGGAGGGAGGTGGGTGGTGGAGGGGTTAAATTGGTGATGGGTATTAAGGAAGGAATTTGTTATGAGCACTGGGTGTTGCTTGTAAGTGATGAATCACTAAATTCTACACCTGAAACTAAGTATTACACTATGTGTTAACTAAATGGAATTTAAATTAAAGCTTGGGGGAAATTAATAACTAAACAAACTGAATACCATAATTTTCAAAAAGAAGTTAAATTAAATAAATTATTTAATTTCAAAGAAATTGTATATCTTACTATACTGATCATGATGATAAATCCTCAAATGAAATGAGAGGCAAGACAATATGATATCAGTGTTTAGTATCTTGTGATAATCACTTAGGATATGATGTAACATATTTTTGGGTCTAATTTCAACACCACTGCTAGATAGATAGGTGTGCAGGCTGAGTATATTACCCCAGTGGAATTATGTGTGAAATGAAGATACTTTTTACCCAATACATTTTTTGGTTAAGATTTGAGATATTTGTGAAGTGCTTAAATGGTGTATAGAACCTAGCAGAATCATAGTGTATGTAAAAGAGAAAGATACTTCTTTGGTTAGATGTAACTTACTCAAAATTGAAGAATATCAATTCCATAGCCAATGAGGATTTTATAGTTAAATATGAAGAGATTTCGTTATTAAAGAAATAAATCATACACACACATACACACACACGCACACTCTAAAAATGGTTTCATTTTAAAGAGCATAAGGCTTAGTGGCACGAGAGCAAAATTCATCCAAATAAAATATATTCTTACATTCACTGGCCATAAAAGTTTAAAGTTGGTTTTTGGTGATCTGCTTGGTAAATATAAAATAGGCCATTGATTTCGTTGATTTTTTTAGGAAAAAAATACAAATAACTAAGATATTCCAGCTCTAACAGCCATAGCAAATATTTCAATAGGAAACAGCCTTTCTATAAAAGTGAAATAAAATAATAATTATTTTTTTTGTATCTCTACATCAATAAACTTTACTCAGATGCCCTTGGCCTAAACTCATTCTGAGAATTACTTCATTGTTCAAGAGCAACATTTTGTTTTTTAACTGTCATGATTACTGAGGGTTTTATTATTCAAATGTGAAATACAGGTTTTTAAAATATAAGAGCTTTGGCAGTTGTTTCATAATTTCATGTTGTTTCACGCCAATTCCATTTTATTATGTGAAAATCGTTATTCTTATCTGTAGGTCTCTTGGGATTTTAGAGTAAACTTGCTATATCATATTGCAGTCCATTTTAGAAAATATTACTCCCTCTTAGTTTATGGTCCATTGCAGCTCAGAAAGAAAAAAACAAAATAACACTAGAGGTTACAAGCAACACAAAGGAAAAAGATTAACTTTGGTTTTATTTTCCTTTAGAGCCTGGGTCATTTTCTAATGTATCAGATTCAAACAACCAAAGTACTTTTATATAGTAATGCTTAGGGATATTATGAGAAGAGTTTAATAAGTATGCAAAGCATTTTGAATATGTTATGGTCATTTACATTAAGTTTATATATTCAGTGTGTTTATAAATTCTAGAGAAATGTGAATATACCTTTTATATCATATACACACACACACACACACATATGTATTTATAAAAATATATTTTTAATGGTGCCCTTAACCTCATACATTAAAAATAATATGACTCCTAAGGGAAAAAAGAGATACATGTAATTTGTTGATGATGGCTGTGTTAGTCTGCTAGGGCTATCATGACAAAATACCATAAACTGGGTGGCTTGAACAACATTCATTTATTTATTTTCTCATAGCTCCAGAGGCTAATAGTCCAGGATCAAGATCTGGGTTGGTTTCTGGTGAGGCCTCTTTTCCTTGCTGTGGATGGCTGTAGATAGCCACCTTCTCATTATGTTGTCCTATGGTCTCTCTGTTCATGGAGAGAGAAGGAGGGAGGGAGGGAATTAAAGAGAGAGAGAGAGAAATCTCTGCTATCTCATCCTTTTCTTATAACTGATACCAGCCCTATTGGATTAGGGTCCCACCCTAATGATCTCAATTAACCTTAATTACTTACATAAAGGCCCTATCTCCAAATAGAGTCATATTAGGAATTAGGGCTACAATATATGAATTAGAGGGGGGCCCAATTCACTTAATAACAATGGCATATGTTTTCATTTGCACATTTACTCAACATATTTATTAAGGATCTAATATGGACAGGCATTCTGTTTAGTGTTGGGATACTACATTAAATAGCACCAACATATTTCCTCCCACATGGAATTTACAATATAGCCAAGAAGGCTCATATTGAAAATTTTAAGTGTTAAAGGGGGCAAATGATATAAAATGAAAATGTAAATACGTAGATCTAACTTAATACTAGTGCTAATCCTGCTTTTATAAAATATCAATCTAGAGGAGATAAAAATGCTTCTTATACATAAATGTATTTCATAATTTTAAATTTGTATGTTACATTTCTCTCTTTGGTTATAATGATCACAGCAATTGAATAGTGAAACATGCAAATATGCATCAGCTCTTTAGTCTACATGAGGAATAATATTTACCTAAATGTATAAGGCACATTAAATCACATGATACTATTTGATTTGAACAGAATATTTTGAGGTGGCTGATATAGGTGGTATTTGAAAGAGGCAGGTTTACTTGAATAAAACTTTGGCTTAAGATCTTGGTGAAGTGGTAATGAGTTAAATCTTGATTGATTTATTGATTAAAAATGTAGTTATATATTTATTATGTTATTTCTATTCTTTTAGTCTAATCTGTTCTTTTAAGGGAAGTGACAGAAAGTTGTTAATTTTGAAGTTTATAAATATATTGTCTCATACTTTCTATAAAATTCGACATAGTTTATCACGGTGATAAAATTTCTTAAGAAAAACATATATACAGATAAAGGAATGCACAAAAAAGTAAGTCTGAACTTAACATTGATACTAATTTTTTTTTAATACTAAGTTTTTAGGAGGGACATAATTTCACCATGAATCCATTTGTTATTTGAAGGAGAATTGGTCATTTAATTCCATTCATCTTAGGTGTGTGAAACACACTCAAAAATGAGTTACAAGCATAGGGGGTTACTGCTTTGTTTCAAAGGGAAACTTACCACTATTGCAGAATGCAATTATATAAAATATTTAAATAAACTCATAAATTTTATAAACAAAGTGTATGAGCCTAAGATAATACATACAAAATTGCCTCATATGGTCTTTCAGCAGGTTTAGGAGTTTCATATCTTAGAACATTTACCAGGAAAGATTAAGATTTACATGGGTAGGAGTGCCTGGGTGGCTCAGTCAGTTAAACCCCCACCTTCAGCTCAGGTCATGATCTCACAGTTTGTGAGTTCAAGCCCCACGTCGGGCTCTGTGCAGACAGCTCGGAGCTGCTTCAGATTCCGTATCTCTTTCTCTCTCTGCCCCTCCCCTGCTCGTGCTCTATCTCTCTCTCTTTCTCAAGAACAAATAAACATAAAAAATTTTTTTTTAAATTGCCTAGGTAGAGAGGAAGTTAAAGATAAAACAATGTTTGCAAACACCCAAGGATAAGGGAAGGCATAAATACTAAAGTAAGTACAGCAGGTGCCATATGGCATATATATAAAAGTTAAGGTGTGAATGATCAGGGATGACACAGGGAGATGATAATAGCTAACATGTCTTGAGCACTATGTGCCAGACCTCTCTTCTAAGTCTTGTATACAGATTATGTTAGGTATTCCTCAGAATATAAATACATGTATTACCTAATACTTAATTAATATATTTATTCCAATAAATATAATATGCTCACCAACATATTATAATTAGTAATACCATGGCACTGCAGCCAAATTGCCTATCAATTATTAGCTATGCAGCTTTGTGGAAGTTATTTAACTCCTCTACTATTTATTTTCCTCATCTGTAAAATGGGATAATGATAACCCATCTACTTGATAGTTGAATTGTGAGGATTACATGAACTAACAGATGGAAAGCACATATCTTAATTATTAATAATATTATTTTCCACACTTTATATTTATAGAAACAATCAGAGTGTTCCTGTTAAAATATAAGTCAGAACGATTAGTACTCTACTGAAAAGCTTGTCTTGGGTTCCCAGCTTGTATAGAGTAAGAACCAAATTCTGGGCTCTGAAAACATACCTCAACTTTACCACCCTCTCCTCCCTTCACTGGAGTTTCACTGGCCACCTTGCTGTTCCTCCAAACATTCCATTCCACAATAGTTATCCTCACTATTCTTTCTAATCAAAAACTTTTCCTACAGTTGTACTCATAATTTACACCTTCATTTCTTTTAAGTTTTTTATGAGAGAGATTTAATAACCACCTTATATAAAACAAGGCTTCTCCAAGTGGATGAAATTTATACATATAATTTATTATAGTGATCTTATTCTATCTGCATCTCCGTTAATCATGGCATTTTTCTAACTAATATCAGTACAAAATATTGAGATGCCACCTTTCTCAGTTTGGGTTTCCCATAGAGCAGAGCCTGAGAAAAGGATTTGAGTAAAAGTAGTTTAGTTGGTTGTTATCCCAGAAGTAGAAGTGGAGAAGCAGGGAGTGAGCTAGAGAACAAAGCAAAATCCAGGAAAGCATGCATTCTCAAGCTGGTTACCATTGTGGGCAACAGAGGCTAAATCTGAAGAACAACGTAAAACACATAGCCTCAGAAGCATCCCTTTAAATAGCACTGTCCAATAGGACTTTCTGATGACAAAAATGTTCTATATCCCTATCATAGCACATGACATCATAGCACATAGGGACATGTGACTATTGAGCACTTAGAATATGGCTAGTATTAGTAAAGAATTGAATTTTTAACTTACATGTAAGTAGCCATATATATCATATCAACAGGAATAAATTTTAAAAATATCATATTAAATGATGCAGAAAATAATTTTTAAGAAATAAACAGCCATTTGAGGTGCATTGGTGGCTCAGTTGGTTAAGCATCTGACTTCAACTCAAGTCATGATCTCACAGTTCATGGGTTCAAGCCCCATGTTGGGCTCTGTGCTGACAGCTCAGAGCCTGGAGCCTGCTTCACATTCTGTGTCTCCCTATCTCTCTGCCCCTCACCCTTCAAAAATAAATAAACATTAAAAGTTAAAAAAAATAAACTATTTATGGTAAAAACTCACAGAAAACTAGGACAAGAAGAAAATTTCCTCAACTTTATAAAAAACATCTCCAAAAATACCTATAGCTTCCGAAATATTTAAATGAGGAATTCAGTGCTTTTCCTGAGATTGGTAAAAATGCACGAATACCCCTTATTTTTATTTTTATTTTTTTACCACTCTTCTTCATTGTCACACTGGAAGTCCTAAATAATACAATGGTAGAAGACAGAAAAGTAAATGATATACCTACTGGGAAAGAATAAGTAAAATATTTTTGTTCAAAATGACATGTTGTAGAAAATCACCCCAAAAATTGTTTTAAAAATAAATGTTCTGGAACTAATAAGCATATTTAGAGCAAGGTCTTAGGATATAAAGTTAATATACACAAGTCAATTGCTCTCTTATATACCAGCAAAGAACAAATTGAATTTGGAATTCCAAAATATATGCATTTTATATTACATATATAATTTATAATAGTACCAAGAATGAAAATCTTTGATGTAACTATTTAACAGAATATGTGCAAGGTCTATATGTATAAAACTACCAAACTCTAATAAGCAAAATCAAAGATCTAAGAAAATAGAGAAATAGTCTACGTCCATCAATTAGAACACTCATTATTCTTAAGATGCCAATTCTTACCAGCTTGATCCATAGAATCAAAATAATCTCAACAAAAATTTCAAGCAAATTATTTTATAAACACAGTAAAACTAATTCTAAAGATTATATGGACAGTCAAAAGACCTAAAATAGCCAAAAAATACTGAAGGACATTGGAGGACTGATACTACTGATCTTAAGACTTACTATAAAGCTACAGTAATGGGGGCGCCTGGGTGGTTCAGTCGGTTGAGTGTCCGACTTTGGCTCAGGTCATGATCTCACAGTTTGTGAGTTCCAGCCCCGCATTGGGCCCCATGCTGACAGCTCAGAGCCTGGAGCCTGCTTCGGATTTTGTGTCTCCCTCTCTCTCTGCCCCTCCTCTGCTTGTGTGCTCTCTCTCTAAAATGAATAAACATTTAAAAAAATTAAAAAAGGAAAAAGCTAATCAAGTTAACATGGTATTGGAAAAGAACAGACAGACACATAGACCAACAGAACAGATAATACAAAATAGATCCATACAAATAGTTACCTGATCTTTGGCAAAGGATTAAAGGGAATTCAACACACAGTTTCAGCTCAAGCTCAGTAAATCTGAATGATTATTAAGTGTGATGGAGCTATATTATCAGTAGTTCAGTTGTGAGTCTCCTTACTTAGCTCAGTCAGGGCACGTGCTGAGTAGTCTCATTGCATCTAAGAAGACGTTACTCAGCAAAAGCATAGAAAGCAGTATTCCTCTTCTGGATTTTGGGTCTCAAAAGCTTATTATTTTAGAGGACTGAGGGGAAACTAATGGCTTAAAGATCTCGTAGATTACACACTGGGAAAGAACAACGTCCTATCTCACCTACCATCATTTTCCATCATACTTACTTGCAGTAGAAAAAAATCCCTGGGTGGAGAGTTGGGGGATTCAAAAAGAAGTAGTTGTTAAATAAATGCTGGTAGTGTCCTCGTTATGCAGACTGTGCCTGGGGTGAGTAGAATGTAGCACACATTCAAAATAGGCATGAGATGAGTAAGATCTGAGGATCAAATAAAAACATTGTGACCATAGTTGATAACACTCTATTGTAAAACTGAAATTAGCTAAGAGGGTAGAACTTAAATGTTCTCACCAAAATAAGCTATAAATATGTGAAGAGATAAATGTGTTAATTAACTATATGGGGAGAATCCTTTCAAAAGTATACATATATCAAGTCACCACAATGTATATTTAAATATCTTGGGTGCCTGGGTGTCTCAGTTGGTTAAGCATCTGACTCCAGCTCAGGTCACAATGTCAAGGTTCATGATCTGAGTCTGGAGTAGGTCTCCACACTGAAAGTGCAGAGCCTGCTTGGGATTCTCTCTGTCTCTCTCTCTCCCTCTCTGTCTGTCCCCTCCCCACATGTGCTCTCTCCCCCTCTCTCTCAAAAACATTAAATAAATAAATAAATAAATAAATAAATAAATAAATAAATAAATAATCTTACCATTTTATGTCAATTATACAGCTGAAAGTTTTGTAAATATAGGTTTACAAGCTCCCAGAACAGAAACCCTTTCACCATTTTGCATGCCATAGCAAATTCAATCAAGACTGCAAGACGCTAAAAAGAAAATTGGCTACTTCGGGTGTATAGGCAACTGAGGTATTGCAAAATCTTTTCTGAGCTCCAGCATGGTGTGGGAACCAAAAATGTCAGTTTTCCAAGAATGAAAAAAAAAAATCACAGATAGAATCATGGGATTATGGGATTTGAGGAAATTTTATCAATAGGAAAGAGAATGACTGAGTGACAATTTTTGAAGCCCATCAGTATATTGATGGAAGTCTCTGCAGCTATCTGCATAGCCATATAAGATTAAGGACAAGTGCTACTCCCATCATATACATCTTGTCACTAGACAAGTCCCACAGATCTTAATTTAATTAAGTTTATAGCATTCAGGCCAAATAGGCTTCAAAGCAACTTGAGTTGTAGAAAAACAAGGAAAACTATACATGTACTAAGCTGAGCTTTGGGACCGAGATACAGACCCACTTTATAAGTATAATTCACGTTACAGGCTCTGCCCTGCCATTACTAGTAAGAAATGAATCTTTGGGCAAAACTTTTAGTCCAAAAATCAGAATATTAACCCCACCCTACCATCCTTAAAGCTAGGTCTTCTACAAGTAAATTGAGATAACGTACATGCAGCCACTTTGTAAACAGAAAAATAATACAAGGACAATGCAACTTTAATGTTTTTTAAAGTCCATAAATTGTACTTTTTCCTTCAATCACTTTCAATGTATTGGAGACTTTATAGTATGATGTAGAAAGAAATTATATGAGTTCTGCCAGTAAGTGGCCTTCCATCCACATTGGTGATATAACATATTCTCAATGACATTTAATTGAAAGAACATATTATTACAGGACTAACTTCCAAGGCACTTTTTCCTGAGTGATGGTAAGTGAATTTCAATGGAAAGGGTAGGGTAGGAGCTGGCTATACAACATAAGAAGAATTTAAATATAGAAGGGAAATGGAGCTCCAAGTATTTGGAACTGCATTAGCAAAGACGTTAAAGTTGGAGATTAGCATGTTTTATTTCTAGGGCAGTGGGGAACCTGGTAGATATAAGTGAAATAAAATCATTTAAAGGAAAACTGATATATAATTCCACATGTAAACCAAAAGATGAGTTTAAAGAATAAAGAAACATTTAGCCATGAAAAAGAAATGAAGTACAGATACATGCTACTCAATGAGAAAAAAACCTCAAAAACATTATATTAAGTGAAAGAAGACACAAAATATCACATATTATATTATTCCACTTGCATGAAATATCCAGAACAGATAAATCCATGGAGACAGATGCATACGGGTGGTAGCCAAGGTCAGGAAAAAAGAGGAAATGGGGAATAACTGCTTAATAAGTACGGAGTTTTATCTGGGAGGAATGAAAATGTTTTGGAGATAGATAGAAGTAATGGCTACACAATATTGTGGATGTGCTAAATGCCACAGAATTCTTCACTTTAAAATGATCAATTTTATATGAATTTCTCATAAAAATAAAATGTAAAAAAAATTGAATGAAGAGACAATTTCCAGAGTGGGCTGGTGAGCATTGTTACAGCAGGATATTTATAGAGACTAAGTTCCCTCCAAATCCTCTGTCAAGAATGTTTGGGAGATGCTTCCATAAACTGATGTGCCATGTTCAGTGAGTTCTGGTATTCCAACTGTACACATTAAGCACCTTGACTTGTCACCCACTGTTAGCTTAATTTTAACATATATCCTGGAAATTTCATAAAAAGTGCACATTCTCAGAACTTTCTATTATTGTAATCATTCTCTTAGAATACAATACCAAAAATGCGTCCCCCTTATCCAAATTTAGTCAATCACAATTTGTTATGGGCCACTTCTTCATGATGGCTTTTGCAGTTAGCACATCCTTCTTCATTCACATCTAGAACATCGTTGTTTTACTAGTTGGCAATTCATTTAATCTATCTCTGGTTACTCCTCCATTTTTCACTGTTACAAAATATCTATTCATTGCAGCTAGAATAATTTTACCAAGAGCAGTGTAAATTTGGGTTTTCTTAGGTAAAAAAAAAAAAGTAGACTGGTAACTCTCTTGTATCTTTCTGATGCCTAATTCTAACCTGTGGCTCCTATCCTTAAGGTCACTTTACAATCCAAGATATCTCAAAACATCATGTTCAAGTTTTAAGCAATTCTGAAGAAAAAGTGTGTGGAGTAAGAAAAATTGGGACAATACCCAGTTTAGTCAGCTGTCTTTAGGAAACTTTCGGAGAATTCTCAGATAACACTTGTGATTATGTCTCACAACTAACTGTGAGGGAGTCAAGGCAATAAAATCTCAATCACAACCTTGAATAAAATTGTTTTTGTTATTAATTCAAATGACAAAATGTCTATCAGGCAGGTGGTCAGCAATCTCTTACTTTTGCATATTGATTGATACATACAAACTAAATAATTAAGTACATCAATTATTTTATAGTATGTATTTTATGTTCAATAGTATGCATTACGTGTGTATGTGAACTATACCAGGCATTGTGCTAAAAACTTTCATTCATTAAGTAATTGTTAACAATGTACTGTGTTTTTGGCACTTGACTAAGCACTGAAGAGCAAAATCAACCAGTTCCTATTTTCAGAGAGCTTATAGTCTAATGAGGGAAACATTCTTTAATCCAATAAACGTACAAATTAGTATTGAAGTATAAATTAAAGAACAACCTTCTATGAGAGCATATGATAAAGTAGGCTGACTTCCTTTGGGCAGAGAATATCTGAATATTCACTGTGAAATTGATGCTTCAGCTGCATCTGAAGGGAGACAGATGTTAAGTAAGTGGTGAGGATGTTTCTAGGTGGAGAGGACACAGTTGTACAAACCCAGTGGGGTGAGGAAGGGAGGAACTGAATATACCTGGGCAAACTGGAGTTTAATGGCTAAAGGAGGTTGGATGGTAACCATAATAGACCATAAAAGTTCTTTTTGACAATGTTAAGGGATTATACAATTACCTTAAAGGCACTGAGTGCCTCCACTCCCTGCTTTGTACTTTATCATTAATCCAGAGGCACTTTTTATAATTCTACCACAGAATGCTTTTCTTGCCTCTCTATCCACTGAGCTTCTTGTTCCTTTTCTCCCTCGCCTGTTCAGGCACAGCCCACTCCCTCCCTGCAGACCTTACCTGCCTAAACCACATACATCCTTTGATGCAGAACACGTAGAACCTTCATGATATCTTTCCTGACATCAACCATATGCCCTCAGTTATGGTTACAAAAATGTTTTATCATAAACTGTACATATTTCTACTTTAGTTCCTTCCCTTGTTACTTTATATTTTCTGTTTTTATATCTGCTCCTCAACTAAGACTTTGAGCCTCTTGAAGCCAGGAATATGACTTACTCAAGCTTATTTTCCTAGCATCCAGTAAAAAGTTTGGCACAGATAATGACTCAACAAATAGTTGTGGAATGCATAAAGGAATTGGTCATATTGATATATTTTACTTTATAAATCTGATTATAACACATCACATTATTGTACCAACCTGTCAGAAACTTCAAAATATATGAGGAGAAAAATAGTAGAAAATTGAACTTCTAAACTTTTAAATTCAGGCTTCTGGCTCAAGAACACCATTGGGGTAGTATGATGAAACTATTCTGACTCTAATACTGAATCTCTTTAGCATGAATAAAAGCAAATTGTTTTTAACTTTGAAACCAAATTGATAGGCATTTCTGCTGAAGATACTCCCTATTATATCTAGATGCCTTATCATCTATAAACACTTTATTAATTCTATAATTTACTAAAAGCTATGTGTCCAGCAGTCTATCTTGAAGTGGAGGAATTGTTATCTGCAGTACATGTGTGGTATAAAAAAGGATTCATAGGCAATTAAGATGATGACAAATAAAACACCATTATTTGGGGTTATGGTCAATATATCCAATTAGAAGGAATTCAAACATATACATTTTGCTATAATTTACCCTTGCTCACAATGGAACTTAAAAGGGGTTCTGGACCTAATTTCACTATCCACTGTGATGGGGCAGGAGTCACCAGTGCCACCAAGCACTCTGCAACACCAGATAGATATCCTATAATTTAACTGAATTCTGACACTATCTACCTGAAGTTAGCATCAGATTCCATACGTCAAGTCCTACAAGACTATCCCCACCACCACCATTTCAGACACCAGGTGCAAGTCCAGGTTGTTTCCTGTACTTCTGACAAACTGGGTATAAATTAGAGATTCCCACCACCTCCTTGGGTTCAATTAATTTTGCTACAGTGCTTACAAAACTCAGAAAAAACACTTTGCTCACTAGATCGCCTGTTTATTTTAAAAGGATGTAAATCAGGAGCAGCTACGTGGAAAAGATGCCCAGGCCAAGGCATGGGGAAATGGCACACAGCTCCCATGCCTTCTCCAGGCAGCCGACGTCCCCAAATCTCCACATGCTCACCAACTCCAAAGAAATTTGAACCCCATTATTTTGGAATTTTTTGGAGGTTTCATTACATAGGCATGATTAATTA